GAATCGCCGGTGCTGCGGCCCCCGCCGACCTTTCGATGGGTTTGGCGCAGCGTTCGCCTGCGAAAGCGGTGCCGAAAAGGGCTGGGAGCTGTTTTCCTTCATTCAGCTCGCCGGTCTTATTCTCTCCTGCCATCTGCTGGGCAGCGTTGCAGTTTTTTCAATCATTTTCTGATTACTTTTTTGACAATATGATGTAAGTGTTAGGGGCATCTTTGAATCTCTGTTGCTCTTCTTCACAGTGTTTTCATTAATGTTTTTAATATTAGTCTATTGCTATACGTGCAGCAGAATATACTTACCCTTTGCCTGTCAACATTTGTGTATAAATTACCCTATTGCTTGCAAGCCCTAATTATTTCCCAGAATGATCTCGGATCTTATGGTTTGGTTTTGTTTTCCTTTGTATATGGAACTAAATCCTTGATCTCGTGTTCTTTTGGTGCTCAGTCAGGTATACAGGGAATGAACACCACAGTACGTTATAAACTGCCTGAAAGAGGCAGACTTTACAGTGAGCCTTAGAAACAATAATTCAAGGTTGTTTTCCTTTCTCCCATTTGCCTGTTTTAGATACGAGTTCAGGGCCGACACCTGCCCTGGGACACTTTAAATAGCATTCCATATGAAAAAAAATATACATTGCCTAGAAGATAGTGAACAATTGTTAATAATTTATAGAGCACTAGGCCCACTATAGCAAATAGCCGTGAAATTCTGAAAGCACTTCCTGTTGTTCTTAATTCTGTTCCCTGTTCTTAGAGATTATCTCCATTTAAGTTTTTCTTGCAACTTTCTTCTTAGCTTCTTGCCTTCATAAATCATCAGCCTAGAGACCACAGTTTGTGGGGTTGGTTTTGAGGGATATTTTTGGTTTTGTTTTTCATAAAATCAACCAAAAAATAATCATGTGTGGACCGTATTTTGATTTATATGGCACAAACACAAAGTTGACCTCTTTATATTTCATCAGTGAGGACCAGCATTGAAGATATGAAATATGAGCATATCAGCTGTAAACTGAAATTCAAAATTACTCCCAACTGCAGCAAACAGTAGAAACCATTCTGAAAGGGCTGCCCTGGCCTTCGTTCCTGTAGATGCCCCTAAACGCTTCCAGATATGTGGAGCCTTAGACTGCAATGTTTCACACAGGTCATATTTGACACATTTCTGATTTACATTTTCACTCAGTTACGACTCGTCTGATTATCTTCATTCTCTCTGCTTCAGTACATGCTGAAGAATCCACCTGATAATCTCCTTATATGTGCAAGGGTTAGTACTTTCACAAAATAAAAAA